GTTAGTTTCTGATTTCGTCTGATGATTGAGATAGTCTGTATGAAAGTGTTCAACGCAAACACGTTGAGTGTTCAAAAAATAAGCTCGCGTAATAGGGTCTTATGAGAAGCCTACAGCTTTAACTCCATTGCAATCCAGAATAGTTGGTAGACGAACTGGGCTACAGCACAGTGAAAAATTACTGTGTATTCAGTTAATTGTTGGAATGAACAACTCTCTCACATTATTAGGTGATTTATAAGGAATAAGAAAGCTCAACAGCGGAATGGCCCTACATTGTGCTACACAGTTCTGCATGAGCCAGTTGGACTCCGCTATGCTATGTGATGAGGATTTAGTGATATAGATCAGAGTTTTTTAATTTTTAGCTCCAATTCTGCCTGTCTAATTGTGTATTCCGCTAACGTCGCCGACTGGACTCTTTCCTGTCATATTTTTTCTATAATGGCCTACGGACTGGTCTCTTCTACTTTAGTGCAAGCTCTGAAGACCACGGTGAGCATGACAGATCCTCAGAAAGGACTGCCTGCACCTTCCGCTTTACACATTCCAATGGGACGTTTTAGATGAAATTCGAAATCATCAAATGTTGTAGGACATAAAGATTTGTTTAAAGGGTGGGCGTGGTCGGAAACGACTGCAATCCCCGGCCCGATTCCGACCACGCCCACTTCAGCTCCCTGCCTAGCGGCTTTCCAAGGTGAGTTTTTGTTCAGTCACACTTCTTACGTTCTTGACTAGGGGCTGAACAGCTCCGAAGTGGGAATCGGCCGAGGGGATTGCAGCCGTTTCCGACCACGCCCACCCTGCTGGGACTGTAATGCTTTAAAGCTGGCTTTGCGCTCTCGCCTCATCCTTCGCAGGACTTTATTTCTTAACAAGGGAGGTTTTCAATTGCAAGTCAACCGGGGTATTTAACCACGAGATTGTCATTGCAGATATTTTAGTTAAAGGCGCTTTGTGTGGGGAACACGATACAGCGTGTGTTCACTCCTTTTTTTTCGTGTGACGAGTTTTTCATGGCAATACCGAAGAAGTGCTGAATGATACACTTGATTGTTCAATCCCCCCCGGCGACTAAATTTTGCATTTGGGTTGGCGCCTACGGGTTGGTGCCAAATCGCGCTAAATGCGCTAAATGTCAAAATCAGATGTCATATTCATCGTCAGGACCATTTTGAAGCCAACAAGTGGCCGCCAACCTTGATTGCAAAATTTAGTCGCCGCGTGGGATCGAACCATGCCGCATGCAACTTTACCTTTCTTTTTGGTGACACACTCGCACATCAAATTGAACGCACTTTTTCACGTCAAACTTCATTCGAATAATGGTGTATAACATAACAGCAACAGAACTCATTGGACAATATCATAGTAGTTTTACAAAACATCACACCAAACTAAGAAGTTCAAAGACAGTGAACACGACGGTTGCAGGGCTTAGCAATTTCAGAAACGTGCTGTAATGTGATTGGTGGGAAAATTAATCAAGCCACACCCACTAAAACGCTGAGAGTCCTGGTCCACAAGTAACTTCCTCAGAACGCTGCTCTCTATAAACGTCCTGTCCACTGCCTCACGGTGAGCAGTTTCTCTAATCTTCAAGGCAATTTTCATAGGCAAGAAATGCGATAGGAATCAAAAGCTAAGAAGTCACAAAAGATCAAAACCAGTCCAACAATGGTATTATATGGCAACATGAACAAATTTCAAAACACAATAATTGATTAGTCAGTTATTCGAAAAGGGCCCATAGATACTCCATTAGATGATAGGCTAGTTGGCGCCCAACTAAAGCAAATACGGAAACATTACGCAGAAAGCCCAGTACGATATTTCATTTTTGGCGCTATTGCAGTATTACCACCCAGTAGGGGTGAGACGGGTCAAAGAAATTTTTCGCTGAATATTCCCATGCGGGGAGGCGCCATTTGGCGCCAGATTACGCCACGACTAAATTTTACCGAATTCTTTGTAAGCTTGTATTTAAGAGTTATTATTAGCCCTGATTACGGATATAAAATCCTTTTTGTCGCTGGCGCTATTTGGTGCCCATTCCCTTTTCGTCTGTGCCCCCTCCCTCACTCATTGGATCGCAATCATAATTGACACTTTGGAGAGTGGAGGGCTTCAAAGTGAGTAAGCCCTTGCCACACGCTACGTGGTTTGCCCACTACACCGCAATCACTCCCTTTTCCTAGGCTTAGTCCTAAGCAAGATCTAAGTGAGAGAGCTCAGAAAAGCAGAAAATCAGCGTTAAACAGCGCGAGCGACAAAAACGAATGTCATATTCGTAATCAGGCCCAAATAACCCCTATATACAAGTTTACAGCGAATTTGGTGGGAATTCAGTCGTGGCGCCACCTGGCGCCAAATGGCGCCAATTTGGCGCCAGCGCCAAAAATGGGCCTCATATCCATGTTCAGGACCCTCGATATCACCCAGTGACAATTTCCGGCAAAAAAAATTGTTCACGTAGCTTTCCCCCCCCCACCCCCCCCACTAGGGTGAAATAGTGCAGATAGTGTTCATTTTTTTCTCACCGCAGCGAATATCGCGAAAAAGGAAGAGCACACAAAAAAGGTGCTAAACTTAGGAAAAATGTTTGCATTTATGACCATTGTTCTATAATGCCCCTCCCCAAACTCAATTACGAGATCGTATAACTTCGTAGAAAAAAATGAAACCAAGTAAGCGATGGCAATCCTCTTTTTCCCGCCTCTGTATTAGAAGCATTCATCGACGAAAAAATGACATTTCGTGTGCTGCCAGAAGAGAAAAAATCGGCTTAAAGGAGCTGGAAATTGGCCAATGCGATCCATACGCTCGTCGAAATATCTGAAAAAGTCGCCAAAGTTCTTAAAACGTTCAGTTCAAATTACATAATTGACTGTCCTGAATGATGGAAACTAGCAAGGTTTGGGAAAGCGGAGAATACCCCTGAACTCCGAAGGATACGTTGGCTATCGCCATCAGCCAACAAACATTCCAGGCTCCTAGTTGAGTTTCATATGACATCATAATTCTGAGTGCTTGAAGCGAGGAAGTACGAGATCAACACCAAATGACGCCAAAGCTTCAGCGATTGCAACCCCAAAGTATATCAGCAGTCGTTTTTTTTTTCAATGACGCAAACCCATTTCTTAGAAAGTACTTGAGTATTGAAGAAATCTTGAAGGCAGCAATTACGATAGGTTCTGGAAGGATACAAAGAAGACGTGAAAGTGCTCAATGGCACGCAGTGGCAAGACGCAAAACGAGATTCCTCGTTTTTTACCGTTCTTTTTCACTCATGAACGGGTAACAGCTCGGACGTATGGACGAGGTTACCGCAGTGGGTTTGGTGGCACCATGCTAAACCATGGTCCAATCGAGTTGCTCTAGTTGTACCGCCTGCAGTAACCGCAGTCGTCCAAATCACCAACTAAACTAGATGGGCGGATCGCTTTCGAGGGCGGAGTGCTTTCGTAAGTCCTGCTCAGGCAACCAGCGCACCTTTCGCGATGCAAGCGCGACACATCCCTGGCAGCCAAGTAACAGCTTCGGATTAAGCATATCTTCTTCCCAGATTCGCTTCCTCCACCTTCGGGCGTATCATATCACAGATCCCACGTAATTGCCTTTCAAAAAATATAATTTACCCAATATCCAGTGTCGCTCCGAGGGAATCCGGGGCGCGCCTGGTCCCGTAGGCTAGTTGCCGTCATTGACCCCTAAGTATTTGTATACTTCCTGTTCGTGCGGCAACGCATGGCGCTGCCCTCGACAGCAACATCACGAACCCTTCCGGGTACCGTTCTGTCATGCGATATCTCACGTCATCTAAATTAACATGTTGAAATTAACACTCTTTCGGCGGCGTGGGACCGTGTGTCATGATGTCACGTCACAGTCTTTTCAAAGCTGATTTTTAACGTTAGGCATTGTTACAAAAGGCGTGGTCCCCAGGAAAGAAGCTTCGGTTAATGGGCTGTAGAGTTTTTCAAAAAATGTTTGAATAATGATCAGTAGTCGCACTTTTTGTGCTTAGGCTGAAATTAATCGGTACAAAAAATGTTTGCAATAACAATTTGCTACAGTGGGTGAGGACACTTTTGGTCGGAGACGGACATATGCGCGTCCTTTGATCCTGCATAGTTGTAGCCGCTTCTGCGTTGTCTGTGAACGTTTTCCTTTGCCTCCGTTCCTCCTTTCCCGCAACCGTCGAGTCTGTGAGTGGTTTTCGACATGTAGGTCCGATTGCAATCCAACGATCATTTATAAGCTCGAGATACAGGGACCAGGAAGTGATCCTAGGAGGGTACCCTCTTAATCGCACGTTAGCTTTGGCCCTTTCTACGCACTCTCAAATCGCAGGAATAGCTGAAATGGCCAAAATCGCAAAATCGAGACCTACCACACAAGAAAGATAACAAATAAAACTTTCCCAGAAAAAGGTGTTCTCGTGGGACCGTGTGACATGATGTCATGTCACATTCGCGCGGTCAAAATAATGCGCGCGGTCCCACACGCCAGACAGCGAAAACGAGCGCGGTCGTCAACGTTTTTGGCACGGCAATCCGGGTCTTCGAGCCCTGAGAACTAAAAAAGCAGGGCGAATTGAATCACAACTTACCTCTTGTACCCTATTCAACAGGCGCCTGTAACTGTCCTGATCACCAACAAATTTGTGAGCCACGGCCAGAGTAAATCTCGTGTAGCAAAGTGTAATGTCGTCAGTATCAAGATACTGCTCTAGTAGCGACAGTAGTTCATTTCCATACTTGAACACATCCTCCATGCTGAATTCAAACTACAGCCTATCTCCAAGAGATGAAAAACTGACTCACTTCAGTTTCGTGCCTGCGTTTTCGTTAAAAACCAATAGGATGGCATACCGCAGTATATTGAATTTATACAGAGCTGCATCAAGAATAGGGAGAACCTGGCAAGAAAAATACTACTAAGAAAAAATATTAAATATTATCAAGTCATTCAGAAAACAGTTGTACTGTGCTCACCTTGTTAGCCATTTCAAGCTTCACTTCCAGTTTAATCTCGTTATTTACTAAAAAATCATGGATACACATTGCAGTTTCTTGAGCTGAACGGCAGTTCACGAAGTATTCCTGTGACATGCGCCAACCGCACCTGAACTATTGTGTGCATCAGGGTGTCTACTACGTACAGTACTTCCAATAACTTTGTTCAAAAAGTTGCTGAAGACGCAGACCTGCTTTCGTTTTTCGTCTTTGTGCTATAACTCGATCATTACTCGCTTTTTTGAAGGAAAACGTCAATCACCTAGCGCTCAGGCACGTCGCATAGATGCTTGCTCTCTCAAATTTCAATTTCTAATTCCAAAGCCTGAGGCAACTCACTAGAGGGCGTCGCTCGCATCAATTATAAGCAGAAGAAAACGGCTTCCACGAAAAGTGTTTCGGGAGTTGTTTTGTTTGTTAACTGCTGCTTTACGCCACAGTTCGCTAGCGAATGTTTCACAAGGATGCTGGGTCGCCGGGCAGGTGCGCTACCAAATAAAGGCAGCGCTTAGGATAATTTGTAGGAGGGTTCAGAAGGCGAGGTGGTGCTCAGTGGTACGCCAGTTAAGAAGAAAGAAGAGAAATCCGTCAAGAAAAACGCAAAACAGGACCCTCTTTTTCGACCGTGGGACTTCACACATTGAACAGGTAACAGCTCAGAAGCCGGAACGTATGAACGAGTTCACCGCAACGCGTTTGGTGGCACCATGCCAAACCACGCTCCAATCGAGTTGCTCCAGTTGTGCCGCTGCTGGCAACGCAGCTCGTCCAAATCACCAACTAAACTAGTGGGCGGATCGCTTTTGGGGGCGGAGCGCTTTCGAAGTCCTGCTCAGCAACCAGCGCACCTTTCGTCGTGAAGCGCCACACTCGCTTCCTTGGCAGCCAAGTAACTGCTTCATTTAACAAACATTTCATTCCAACTTATGGCACACACTACCAGAGCTTGTCAGCACTCCCACCGTATAAGGTTTCCGGCGTTAAAACACCAGTTAACAAACAAAACAAGCCAAAAATTATACCTAGACCTTTCAGCCTCGCGGTCATTGCCGCATGTTCCTCAATTCGGATGAGAGGCACCACCCTACTCAGCTTATCGCTAAATGCAGCCCATCCCGCCACCACATACATAATTTGTGCGCTTCAAGGTTGCCTTCGGAAAAATTCAACGATCTCCTACAGTAGGAAAGTGAGAACTCCAAATTCATTGACTCGCAGTTGTCACAGGGCGTGGAATCGTATAACTTCGATCGCTTGGCTACATGCTCTGGACTGCATATTGTTGGCTTAACAATTCAATCGTGGACTCCTGCCCATTCATAAAAATTTGGGTTTTTCACTTCGTAACAGAATGCACCTCCTGGTTTGTGAGACAACCTTAACAGTACTCTATAAGCGGACGTCGTCATATTCTAAATCTGTTTAAAAATTATAAAATGTGTGATTTTTTACAGGAAAACAATGGCCTTCCTAGATATATAGGTTGGCAAGAAAGTCCTGCGAACACTTTTTCAATTTTTTGATTTTAATTTTTATCTTTTTTGTTTACAACTCCTGACCGGTCATATATCTACCATGAGTGTCCACCACTTGTCTTCAACGCTCAGAAAATTTCTTGATGCTCCTTTTCCAAAACCCAGCGGAGTGCGGGTCAAGAAAGGAGGCGACCTCACTTTCGAGTTGGAGTTGATCGTCTAATTATTTCGTCATCAAGATGATGATTTAAGGTCCAGGATAGGTAGGCAGTCATTTACAGCTCGACCAGGGGAATACGCTAAAGAGAGGTAAGAAATTCTTGCCGCAACTCCAGAATTTCTTACCGGGCTTATTTCGGATCATGGTGATTCGCAATGTCATGAAAGAAATGAATATTGTCGCGGTACGAGGGCTCTTGACGAGCTGCCTCGGCCAGCTTCTGGTATTCCACAGCCTAGGCCTCTACCTACACAATGGTGCCCATAACGAAGAATATGTAGTGGAGCTTCTGTAAGAGCCCTACCTGTAATGGAGTGTGAGGGACGCTGCTGGCTTCTTATAAAAATATCAAAAGATCGGAAGCGCTGGTAAAGGTGAAACACGCTGTAGCGGTGAACGACATGCCTATTGAAGCGATTGCAGATAGTGTTGGTCTTTGACACGAATCCATAGTTATGGAGACATTTGTACTAGACAGTGACTCGGAGTGTGGATTTACTAGTGGTCGAGGTTTTTTGAATTTTCTTGGATAACTACTGACTGCAGCACTTATATCCACCTCGTGGATTAAAGCCTCGAGAATGCTCTACCATTTGTTAGTCATAAATGTTACCTATGAATTTTCAGAAAAAAAGAAAATTTTAGAAAGAGTGTCGCAGAACTTTCTTTCCAACCTAATACTTTCTTACCGCCCCCGATCTCTCCCTGTTTAAGAGGCGCGCTCTTAAGCTAACGCCGCGAAGCAGCTGCTGTTTCTTTAGGACCTTTGAAATTAATAACCTAATGTTTATGGACTTTTCCACCAATCACACAACAACAGGGGCCGCGCCGAACCCTAGAAAAGGGAGAGGGAGTCGCTAAAAAGTCGAAAAAGTGCGAACGCGGCGGTTTACCCGGGTCAGAAGTACACATGGACACGTTTTTTTAGCAGTCCACCTCAAGTTACAACTTTGAAAAAATTCTTACTCAGTTTTGGAAGAATCGGGCAGGGCACTAAAAGGTAAATGATACCAAATAACCTTTGCTTTACCAGGGTAGCCCGTAAAAACTCTTTCAATTGAGCCAGTGTTACCCACAACATCGAATGTTTTACGATATGTGGAATAGTAGTAGGTGAATATAAATATCTAGCAAGTTATTCAGCATAGGCCTAAGACAGTTTAAAGGCAAAGTTCAGGCGGGAGAACCCACCTTAAGAAGCCCTTACCATGGCTAGAAGTGCTGGGTACGCAAGTGCAAAGGTAGCGCCACCTTTCTACATCGAAACGCGTCACTAGGACCCTAGGCGCCATGGACTTCTAACAGACTCCACCAAACTTAACATGGTCCGCCCACCGTTCGATATCTTGTCTGCGTCGCCACGTTGATCTGCTATGCTCTCTCTTCTCGGAGATTCACCTGCCGCTTCCATTCCTTCTTTGCTACCTAGTTTTAGAGCGGTAAGGGTGGTTACGAAACTGCACTCAACGGAGATCTCTTCCTTTGAAAGATAAGACCCGCATACCTACATCAGCCCGGTTTTTTCCTGCTGCTGGCATAAGCCTACACAAAGCCTATTCTGGTGTCGTGGCGCACGCGAAAAAATCTTTATCGTCCGTTACGCGTGTTAAGGCATGGAATCGATGAATTGATGCTTTATTTTGTTCAAACATTAGGCAAGGGGCAATGAGGAGGATTAGTGAGGAGAAAAAGCAAAAAGCACCATAGAAAACACTAAATTTCCCTTAGGAGGCCGGCCGTAGTACGACGGAGAGACACAGCGCTGCGAGGAGAGGGAGAACGCGAGATAGTACGTCGTACGCGAGAGGACGCAGAGACCACGTATGCCGTGGTGGATTACGCTGGCAGCGCGCGCGGCGGGCAAGGCCTTAGCGCCATTGCCGCGCACTTTTGGGTCGCGATAGTGTCGCGCCCTCAGTGCTTGGGGAGCCCACTATCGCACCCTGGGAAGAACTTCTGCTGGTTGCCTAATCCTGACTCGTGGCTTTAACCCTTAGACTACGACTTTTTTAGAAACAAGTTATCAATGTGTTTTGTGTAGTAACAGTCGCTCCTAGCAACAACTAATCATCTGTAGAAATTTGGCTGACGCGCGCTGGGTTTGAGCTGGGATTCGATCCAGAGACCATATGCGCGGCAGTGGCCCCTCCTGTCACCACACCATCTCCGCTCGAATGAGCATTTTTGAACAGTTCAAATACCATTCAACAAATACACATTTATCACATCTCATTCGTGGAACAAGGCAATGTCCGGTTGGGAACGCACTTGAAAAGAATTGCAAGCCGCACTTTGTAGAAGTGCTGCTCCCCTGCCTACAGGCTGCGCCCACCGGCTGCTTCTCCTCTAACGAATTTTCGCTGGTTTTTATGCTCGAAAGCTGCGTCATCATAGGAGTGTTCTACTACCACTTCCGCATCAAACGAACTGACAAAATCCGGAGGTTGGAATTTCCAACGCAGTCGTAAAACGCTGTCGTCCTCTAACTGGCTTGCCGATAAAAACCTCCATCCGTCATCGGTTTGCTTATGTTTCACCTGTTTCACAATAATTGAGGGAAATATTAGAACCATTACAATACAAAGAGTGTGAGACTCGAAAACTACCTTTTCGGGAGCTGTGCACACTGCCCAGTGACCTGTGGAACGACTTGCTTATCAACTTATCCAGCGTAACTCGCTTAGACTTCTGATACTTCGCTGACAGAGTAAGAATTACCAAGTTTCTAGTTGTGCACAATTCCGCCATAAAGCGGGCCCTCCGATCTCAATAAGTGCCAAAACTGTGGTAGTGACTTTGACTACGGAAGTGGGACACATGTGTACCACCAGTAGTCAAAGATTAACTTACGCAGGATGACTCGCTTTAGCTTCTGACGATAATGTCATAGTAAGAATTAGAAAGCTTCTATATGTGCACAATTCAGCCATCAAATGAGCGCTCCTGCCTCAATATTCCCTGGAACTGTGGTAGTGTCTTTGACTACGAAGTGGGACACATGTGTCCCACCAGTAGTCAAAGGGTTAAGAAAAAAATAGAGATATTCCAAAAAGAGCCATGGTATTTATTTCAAAATTCCGATCCATTGCACACAATTGCCAGACAGCTATCGGCGCCAATAAATTACTCCCATGGGGTATGTTGGAGTTTTTTTTTGCCAACATAAGGTTGACGTTTTAATAAAAGTTTTCCATACCGAGAGCACTTCGAATTGAGGAGTGGTGGCAGCCAACCATCCTCGCACTGCCGGCAGCGCCATCCTTCCATTCGCTCATTCCTCTCTTCATCGAGACATCCTTCACATTCGCAATAGAAGTTGTATCTCGACTAAATCACATATAACGAATAAACTGTGTTAACTTTCAAACACCAACAAAACAAGCAAACCTTCAGCGCTCGGCGACGCATTTTCCTAGGCATGAGGCAGTCTATGTATGAACGTCTGGCTTCTTTTAGAGAATGCGGCACGCGTGACAAATCCGTAGGTATCATTATTGCCGTACTGCCTCTAAAGCATAATGAGCCATAAAATCTCAACAGATATATATTGTGGATAGCTGAGGCCGGAACAACTCATAAAATAGGATCCGGTTTCAAACGCTTCAGTAAAGCCTTACAAAGACTTCGTGTTAGCCTTTCGAAAGACTTCGTGTTAGATGCGCCAAGCGAAGCGCCTTGGCCTCCAAATTCAGTTTATCGTTATGCAGAAATTGTTTTAGAATAACTCCGATGTTTTCGTACCGAATTCAGGTGATACGAGTGCAACGACCTAGAGGAATCTAATTCGAGGCTTCCAAAATTGCTTACAGGGACTGCTTTGAAATAACCGACATTCGAGGACATTCTTTGTATTTATTAAAAAGGTCAATTCTTATACTGTACCAATAATCAATTAAGCAAATTTGAAAATTTGTTCTCTCTAGAATATGCACTTGTCTGAAAAAAATTTCCTGCCGTAGCGATTTTGGAAAAAAACTTTTCAATCGGTTTTATTGCCTCGGCAACAGTCACCACAATGAATTTTCCAGACGTTCTCTCTTGCGATGAAAAAACGATGTTGGAAGAAGATTGACCTCTGCAAGACAAATGTGCGCATTCTATTGAAATTTCTCCTTTCAACCCCACAACAAGGATGGGAATGATATCATGGCAAGTGGCGCTGCTTACCACGTATACAGGGTAGGCCGAAAAGTATAGGACGCCATGTTTTTGTGTGTAAAAGCCAAGAAAGAGACTCGATCAGGAAACCGACTTCACACAAAGATAGAGTTAAGCTATTTGATCACTTGTGCAGAAGGTGCTTTGAATTTGACGACTCTGCTTTGAGAGAGGCCTTCTGACGTCCAACGACAAAATCAGCAGTGCGCCGCAGGTAGCCAACGGCGATGTCGTCCCACCTCTTCTGAAGCGCTAACTTCAGAGCACCCACCGAGCTGGAGAAGTCTTATGAGGTCTTGCTCTACAACATCCTCACATAGAGGAGTCCATCGGGTTAAGGGCCTGAGAGGAAGAAGGTCACAATTCCTTGCTCCAGTGGCCCGGGAAGTGAGCGCCCAGGATGGCTTTGGTCGATTTGAACGCGTATTAGGGAGCCCAGCTTCATTGAAGAGCAAACGATCATTGAGCAAAATGCTCGTAAATCCAGAACAACATACCGTACCTCATTAAAGTCTTTTGCAAGACCTTCGAGTTAATTTTAACATTTGTGGAAGATGAACTCCAATGGAGCTGCACTTTTGGATGTTACCCCGTCACAAACTACCACACCTTCGGGAGAAAGTCTGTTGTAAACTAGACGTTATCTCGGAGACTTGCTCTCACTTTTTGGCAACAACTGCCTCTGACTTTGGTGGTCGCAAAGAAGTTTAGTTCGAAAATTTTCTCATTAACCCAATCCGTAAGAGAGATGCGGCGCACCTCGAGCTCGTGCAGAAACTTTTGCATTTTATCAGTTGAATCTATTCGGGTTGCTCCAATAAAAACCAGCATAGAAAGAGTCGGTAACCTCTTCAAATAATGATTGCTTCCCAAGATTTTCTGGAAGGAGTGACGGCAGATCCTGAGATCAAAAGCGATGTGACTCACGCTGGCTTCATCGTTGTGAGCCATCCTCTTCTAGGTGATTGCCCCAATCCTCTGAGTGTGCACAGTTCTTGAACTTCCACTTTTCGCAATCCCAGAGACGTGTGCTTGAACCTTGAGAGCACCGAACATGTTTCAAAGAGTTGAAGAGGGAATACCGAGTCGCTTTCCGAAGTTGCAATTTCAGAGACCGTCATTGGGCAGCCTCTTGGTAATGGGTCGATGCAAAAAATATTCATGGCGAGAGTTTTCTAAAAACACTGCACGGCCTCAGCGCCAGCAAGCGCTCAAAGCCGCGTCCTATACTTTTCGGCCATCCTGTACATGCGGTCTGGGCCAGAGTCAACCCTGCGTTGCGCAGTTCGCAACGGCACGTTGAGAGATCCTCAACGCACGCTGTATGGGCGGAGACGCAGACGGCTCGAGCATGCGAGTGTGAATGTTCGCGCGAGAGAACGTGTCTAATCGGGCGAAACTGCGCAACGTGGCCGTTGAGAACTGCGCAACGCAGGGTTGACTCTGTCTGGGGCAGGGGCAAGCGTGCGTCGACGAATCCTTGACAAGCTGACAGGAAGAAACCGAACTCGATATGTGTTTCCATTGTGGGCTGTAAGGTCGGGGCTTATGCGGTCAGCCCTGCAGGACTGCAGCCAACATATGAGCTGCACGGGCTGTGAGGCGTTGTATTCGTGAGTTAAGATTTTTTTCGCCTGTCAGAACCCAACAACCTCAACGTAAATTTGAGCGATACGTCGGCCACGGTACCCTAAAGCTGGTGTCAGAGTTCGCGATCCGTCGAAGATTCTGCGCGAATCACGCGATTCGGATCACAGAAATCACAAGTGCCCGATCAATACTGCAAGGTGCTTCTCCAATCCCGCCGCCATTTCTGCTTGATAGTGATGGCTGAATGACTGCTCATGATTCTACTTGTTTCATATTCAGTGTTTCAAATGTTCAAATAGGGCACTTGCGATCTTTGCGTAGCGCTGCCGTGCGGTCACTCACAGTTGACACACTGAGCAGGTTTATGACGATGCCGATTTTCGCAGACGTCACATAAGAGCTGATTAAAAGTTGCTTCTTATACGCAGAACTCGCCCTATAAACAACCTTTGATCGAGACGAAAAGACAGAGGAGGATTTCATGATAGAGTCGGAGGTCGCATAGAAGACGTATGCCTAATGGAAACGCAGGCGTGCCCCCCGTATGCGAGTCGTTTCGAAGCAAGGAGTATGCCCTTACTGGAATAGCACGGTCCCACCTGTGACATGCCTACCAACGCCTGCATGTTGGATGCTACTGCTATTATTGCCATCGCCTGCTCACAACTTTGTAAGGGCATTTCTTCTCAAGCGGCCGTGCCCTTTAGTTTTGCTAGGTAATGCTACATCAATCAAAGCAATACGCTAGTTGCATGATATCGGGATACGGATGCAAACGAGCTCCTCCTGGGCCGTCGCTGGCTCGTACCAAATCGGAAAAAGGACGAAAAGGAGTCAAGCACTCGGTTTCCGGAGGCCTTTTCCCGTTTTCCTGACTACGCTGCACCAGCGATCATCCTCTGCTATTACTTTGGAAACGGACGACCATTTTACTGTACCATCTGTCTTCAATATGCAGTATACAATCGAGTCCATCAGGTGGAAGACTCACCGAAATACACAAGTCATGTTCGGTTTACATGAATGACCCACAACACTGAGTCGAATACAGAGTGCGACGCCGATGGGTGTACCAAAGTCAGTTAACAGAGAAAAACTGTTCACCCAAGCCACTTTGAGTAGCCTGAAATCATTCAAAATCAGAAAGATATTTAAAAACGTAAGAAGTTTGAAGACCATCTTCAATGAGAATCAGCCATTCAAGCAATTTCTTGGACTCAAGACTAGGGTTAGGACTTTCTGGCCTGAAGTGTAGCTACTACCGCTCCCACCCAAAACCTACAAACCAATATCAGTTTGAATTGAGCGACTCTTAGGTTCTTCTCAGCTTACTGATCGAACTGGGGGGGGGGAGAAGGAGAGAAAGAGGGAGGGAAGGGGGAGAGGAGAAAGGGGGAGAACATGGCGCTGTCATGCGCCGAGAGAAGGGGTATAAGGAGGGGAGAGGTGGGGAGGAGAGGAGAGAGAACGACCGTTTTTAAGAGTAAGGTCTATATTCATGTTGACGTATTATTCTAACCTGATGTGGTGATTGTGATAACACCCACAATGGCTACAAAAACACCGAACGAGCACACTCAGCCTCATTCTACATGGTGCTGCCGTGGCAGCTGGGGAAAGGAGGAAGGGAGGGGGACATGAAATGACCATTTCTGATGCAGGGTCCTTAACATGCCCTCGTGTCAATGAGAAGTAAGATGCAAATACAATAAACGTTCGACTTACCGTTTGAAAATATCATCACTGACAACAGAACTCTTGCAGAATGTCTTGTAATCCTCCATAAACTGACAGGTTGCGTCTTCCGCCATATCAGGATGATACTGCAGCGTCGAGAGGGAGCGTACGACTGAAATGAAACACTTGAAGACGTTCACAGAGTCTCCCTACCATACCATTGTCCACGGTGGTTTCTCCCATGTCTCCAGCTGCCCACTTCGCTGCTAGGCGCATTGCAAACCGAACCCACATGTTCGCAACTCCGTTATTCTCCTGAAAAAGTGTTCAGCGCTAAGATACTTGCTGAATACAATTACAAGTTTTGAAGAAAATTTAGCTCAACATCGAGAGTGGGACTGTAGAAGGTAAACAGTCCCAAAAGTTCTGATCCTCGTTTAATATAGTGCGTACCAAAAGGGGCGACGGACTCAACCCCGGACGCACCAAAAGTCCCGCACCCTACCAAA